ATTTTTCCTTCACTACAGAGATGATAAGGAATCCCAATAAGTTGATTAATGCAATGGATTATGTGTTACTATTTATTTTTCTCTGTTATTATTTCTATTGAAATCATTTATGTTTTATTGATGTGGGGTGATGCTGTGTTTCAGTTTGAGGTGCTATTGAAACATATCTGCCAATAACTGTCACATAACATTCCGAGAACGTGTGGAAAAGGGGCGGGGCCCTTATCTGACCCATGGGGACCCAGGTCTCATGCAACCATTTCATGAAGCTTCTCGGAGTATAGGCTGTTACTCTCTCCTTTCTCTAGCTTTATTCTCATCTCTACCACTTCATTTCACTCCTTCTTTTCACATATTTGTACATTAATTATTAACTTTTTTATTGTAAAGCACAAAAATGCCTTTGGAGAGGATAAAATATCGTAAACTTTTATGTAATAGCCTAATAAAATTACTTTCAGATGTATAATTTCCTTTTTATTGTCAAGTAATACCAAAGCTCAAACTAGTAATTTTACTTACCAGTCATCTGAAACTGCCACGTTGCTGACAGTGCAGTAACCGGGCTCCTGGCTCTCAGAACAGGAGTCCACAGTGAGGGAAGCGGCCTGCACATCAAGAGAAGGAGATGGTCACCTCGAGGGCCTCCTGCCCTGTTAGCCAACACTGCCGAGGGCTTGTTTCTATGTGGCCGTGATTTCGAAGTTATGTTAACATTTTGAGTTAGTGTATTATGATAAATATATTAAATTATGGACATTATTTCTTTGTTTTATCTAAAACTAAATTGTGAAATCTTTACATATAAAGGGCACAAAGGTGCTTTGAAAATCTCCTCCAACCCCCTTGTTTTAAAGATGAAAAACTAAGAATGCCATTAGCATGTCTTAGAATATCATACAGTAGGTCAGGGACTGCTTCCTGGAACTATAATAAGCCTGTTTATTCTACTATCCAGCTACTCTAACAAATGGAAAAATGAAAAAAAAAATTAGTAGATTTTTGATCTTTACGTCTTCTTCCAGTAATACATCACACCTATATACAAAAAGATTTTGAAAGTGCCAAGTAAATATGCTATACAACAACCTATGAAGATCGTAATACTTGCATTAAAGATAAAATTTGAGATAATGTAAAGAAATCAATTAGATACTGTTTTCATTTATGACAAGAACCATTATTTATAAATAGCATATTACAGTATATCTATGTATAATCAGAATGCATTATAAATATTGCTATACAGTAGAAACTCCCCAATAATATTTAAATCACAGCTGATAGTAGTTGTTTTCGCATCCTAAGGGTTGCAGTATCCCTCTACCCCCATCCCCAGACAAGTCTTCTGTCTAGTAGAACATGTGAATACTCCTTGTGATCAATGAACAAAGTCATCAAGTCCTGGCCACAAGGACAAGAATATGACAGAAATCAGGGCTCTCTATACTGGGCAACAGCCACAGGGCTGTTTAAGACCAAGGTGGTTGCATATCCATGTTATCCTGGGCTCTCCAATGCCGGCGTGATGCCCACCTTTGCTCCCCAAGCTGCGGTAAGGTTTTGCAAATGACAAAACTTCACATATTTTACTTGGTGACATTATAAGGATGGTCTTCAGAGTATATTTCAGAACATGGCCAGTAAGTCACAGGAGAGGCCTAACCTAAACTGCAGGAGGGTTTCTACCAATGCAGACAAGAGGTTCTACCTACATTTATTTGGATACCAGTGAAGAGAACTAATCCAACTTTGTCCCTCTGGCTAGCAGAAAAATAAATTCAATTGACCCTTGAACAATGCAAGAGGTGCCAACCCCCATGCAGTTGAAAATCCGTGTATAACTTTTGATTCCCCAAAAGCTTCAGTTGTCCCTCAGTATCCATGCGGGATTAGTTTCAGAAGCCCCTGCAGATACCAAAATCCACAGGTGCTCCCTATATAAAGTGATGTCATACAATGCATACAGTCAGTCCTCTGTGTACGTGGACTCCTGATCCCGGATCAAAAACAGTACAGGTATTTATTGAAAAAAATCTGCATATAAGTGGATCCATGCAGTTCAAACCCGTGTCGTTGAAGGGCCAACTGTACTACACAAGCATTAATAAATAAGAACGGTTATCCTTTGAGGCTAATTTTAAGCAAAGCAAATGTAAGAAACAGCACAGGGAGGTCAAGCAAGTTGACCAACATCACCCCTTATTTACATGCAAAGGTCTATATCTGGTTTTCTCTTCCTGAATCAGGTCACTTTCATTATGCATTGAAATGATTCATTTCCCTCATATCCCATTTCTATCAACATTGTGTATTTTGATAGGAATTTTGAGGGATTGTCCATAAAAATACATATTTACATGGGAGGTTTTAAAAGTATATCTTAAATACCTCACATTTCAGAAATAATGAATGGGCCCAATTTATAGTTATTATGCATCAAATACTACTGGCTAAGATATTTTAAAATATCTCTATCAGTTAATTATTATAACTGATTATAAGCTTCATATAATGGATTCTCATGAGCCATGTAAGTTTTTTCTTGCCACTCTCTCAAGGAAATTATAATAAATATATCTTTAGGAAACATTTACACTTCTCATTTAGTTAACTCTTTCAATGTAATAATTTTTTCCAGTGATCTATAGAATTGACATTCAATCTCAAAAGCAGTAGTCGGTATTCATGATAGAATTTATGTTGCTTATGTTGACTCTGATTTAAGCAAAATCCCCTTTTTATTTCTAAAGCAAGCATTAACACATCTCTATATATGCTTATGCAAAATAACCATCCATTCTGAAGATCCCCAAAGCGATCATAAACTAGAGCATCTCAGATGAATATTTATGAATGCCTCAACTAGGAAAAACACCTTAGGTAACAGAATCATATTTTAGTCAATCTTAATNAAGTAAAAATTCTCATTTCAATTCTATCTCAATTTACAAATGTTCTGAGAAGTCATGAAATAATATGCTTCACAAGAAGCATAACTTGAGGGAAAACTAATGCAAGAATATTCTTTATAACATGGCAAATATAACAGCAAAATATGTTCATAGACTACCACTGTAACCTTTCTGGAAAGTAATTTGGCAATAATATGACTTAGGTCTATATGTCTCAATTTAAAAAGATGTTCACAACATATTTAAAAGTAAAAACGTCAAACTTCAAAACCTGTTTGTGTGACCACGGAGAAGGCTACAGAGGGATGCACACCCGACAATTTACAATGCTTGGCAATGAGAGCTCTATGTTTCTGTGCTGTGTAATTAGTTATAATGTGGTGGTACTATGTTATGACTAAACAGTAACAACACAGGGAAATGCCAAGTTGCAGTAAAATACTTAAGTTACAAACATCAGGAAGTATTCACAGCTTTGTCTTCGCAATTTTGTTTCTAGAAATCTCAAGCAATAAAATAATGTGAGCAAAGATTTTTGTGACTACATATTAATCACAGGGTTATTAATAATGTTAAGAAAATTGGAAATGTGTACAACCATAGTTAAAATAGGGCACCTCCAGTAGGCAGTGATGGACGTGTCAGTGATTATTTTGTGGGTCTGTGAGTAGTCTATAATCTTTTATATTTTTCTAAATTTTCTAAATTTTCAACATAAATTAGAATAATTTTAAAATGTTATTTTCACAATTCCTAAATCATTGCTGGAAACCTAACCAATAATCACATATGAAAAAAACTGTTATATAGTTTGCAGTTAATCAAATTATTACTTGTTAAAGATGTATCAAGTTCTGGGGAATGTATATGTTTATATTTAAAAATATTTAATTTCAAGTAGGTTTTTTGTATACATTATTGTAACACTTATGAATGAATTGTCATGTTCCTTTCAATGAGATTTACCTACTTAACTCATATCTTTATCATAACTCTGTAAGGTAGAACATATATATATATAACTCCACTCATACTTACATTTTTCTTAGACTCCAGAAAATAAGAATTAACTTTATAATTAAATGTTATGCCAAACAAAATTTCACAGGTATACATAAATATTTAAAATTCAAAATAATGTACCACATTTGGTAGTTTTAGGGCTTTGGGCACAACAGTTTCGTCTTTTGATGCTCAATTATCATACACTTTTGCCTTTTCTGTAAGAGTAAGAAATGAAATTGCCATACTGATCTAGGATGCCTTGCGCTGCCAGAGCTTGACTGGGTTCCAGGGGTCGCCCATTGACTGCAAACTCCATTATGCACCCGACAAAGTCGTGGCTTTCCACGTGTCCTCGCCTCTGCAGGACCGGCTCGAGAGACCTGATGCCTCCAACTGAAGCTCGATTTGGCTGAACATCAAGCGTCCTCCATAAGTGAGAAAAGTACGTTAGTGCCAACATGATAGATCGCAGCAGAATGTTTCGTGTAAAAACGAGGGCCGTGTGTTAC